CTGCAAAGACTCAACGTCAGCCAAGGCGAGTGAGAAAAGGAAGGGTGCGCCGCTCTACATTGTGTACAATTGCGCGTGTGAGTTCTGCATTGGCAATACCACAACTATATCAACAACACGCTCGGTGAGGTGAGCATCTACAACATATCATCAATACCAAACCCTCACGCACAAGGCAATAGCTGATACCTTAACTTTGGTTAACCACAAAGTAGTTTAACACGGACTACATGGCGAGAGAACAGGCAAACAGTAAGACCTGAACTCTCACCTGTGCACTGGGGTTAGTGCCTTCGGTATTGATGGCTGGCTGCGTTACGAAGCCATGCAGCAAAGCAGTGTGCAAAACCCAGTCACCCTGCAACTGTTGAAGAACACTCCTCCTCCTCTCCGGACTGAACCATGGAGAAGCCCCAGTTCTACTTGGGAAGTTCATGGTAGTAGTCCGTGTGAGCTATAACCATACTAAAGCTACCCTATAGCTAACTACCCATGACCCTCCTACGCAGGTCATCAATGCATGGTCACTGGCCAAGTTGCAGGAGGCTCGGCAGGAGAGAAGTCCAGCATCATAGAACCTCCCGTCACGTGATTTATAGGGTGATTTAGGGTCTTACCAGATTCTTTCAGGGTTGTTCCGGGATAATTATGGGTGCTTTCTTTGGTTTTTTCGGAGCGGGGGAGGGGTCTGGTTTCGTGAGGTAGGGTTTCGACCTTCCCCAGTGGCACAGTGGTATTTTGTGTTGTTCGGTACTTGTCTGCGTGGGTTTCCGTTTCAAAAACCGAACAATTCCAAGGAAACTTCCTTCCAGAATGGCTACCGGGAACCAGGACCTTTCGGTGCTTCGCCTTAAGTGGGTATCGCTTTTTGGAGTCTGAGGCTAAGTCTTGAGGATTTTGATTGTGACTTTGAGCTGGGATATCTTTGTGGGTAGTTTTCTAATTAGGGTCCCTTTTGGGTGTCCTTTTTATAAGGGTGCCGTATTATATGGGGGACCTAAAAGGGGACCCTAATTTAGAAAACTACCCTTGTAGTAGGCAGAGTGTGCAAGTTGAAGGGTCCTTCGTCATGCTCTCCTCGCATTGCAGGGCTCATCTCGGATTTTGGTTGTAGGGTTTGTAAACACTAAACCCTAAACAGACTTCGCGCAGACAGAAAAGAGCCCTAAACAAACAAAACCTAAACCCTACACCCTAACTCAACCGATTAAGGCTTTGAGGCTTCAGCTCCACCCCAAAGGCCTAAGCCTACTTTGCAGCTCAGGGTTTGGGGTTCAGGATTTTAGTGTCCAGCTTTGAAAGTTCTGAGGTCGGTGAGACTGTGAAACTTAGCATTGAAGGGTTCTCAAAAGTTACGGCACTAGTGGGGCCTTTGCATACCCGCCGTTACACAACGAATATCTCCAGAATACAGCGGATGCCACAAATGGCCTTCTCAAACCTAGGATCCCGCCCGCCTAGGGCCTACCTCGGTTGAGCCCCAAACCCTGAACCCTAAGCCTCCCAGACCTCAGGGTATTGTTTGCTTCAGCATCATCCTGGCAAGATCCAGACTGGGACGGAATGCCAGTTTTCTGCAGATGAATGCTGCATTCAATGAGCTGTCTGCAGAGGCCCAATTGGTCTCGGAGCAGAAGCGAGAGCCGGGGCGACTGCCAAGATTGCATCAGAGCTGCGGCCATACCTCTCATTGTACTTTGTTGAAGGCTTGGTGACGGCTACGCCGAGCTGCGCTACAGATCAATGAAATGCTGTGAGAAGATGTGCACTGGCGCTCGTGCAGAGTTTCTGCCGGCCTGTGACGGCAGTGAATTGTGTCGCAGGCGCTGGGAAAACCACTCTCACTGATTAGCCGGAACCAACCCTGCCCCCAAACCCTAAAGCACCAACATCGAACACCTTAGCCACAACATCAAAGCCCGAAAACTTTCAAATCCTGTAAGGTACCATAAATCGGGTAAAACCACGGGAGAACACCCTAAACCCTAAACCCTAAACCTCAAACCCTAAACCCTAAACCCTAAACCCTAAACCTCAAACCCTAAACCCTAAACCCATGCGAAGAACACTATGCAAGGCGCAGGCTGCGATACCCAGGGAGTTTGAGGAGGCTCTTTGCTCTGCCGTCGAGAGGCGGAGGTGGACCCTCTGCAAAATCCCTACACCCTGAAGTTTCAGAGTTTTCCTTAGATTTTAGGGTTTAGGGTTTAGGGTTTAGGGTTTAGGGTTTAGGGTTTAGGATGTTTTCCTTGGTTACGAGGGTTTGAATCCCGGGGTGTCTCTAGGTTGTTTTACTGGGGTGTGGACTGCTTTTACTGGTTTTTGATACATAGGGTTCTGGAAAGGGTCTTGCGTCGTTATAGAGCTTCGAGTTTAGAATATTGTTGTAGGTTGCTGTTACCGTTTCGTACCGGGTTTCATGTGGCTTCCATGGGGTTGGGAAGGGCCTTTGGGGGTTCTGTGAGGGTTTTGTAGTAACGCCTTCAAGGCTTACTTCTGAAGGGACTATGTAATAAGGATCAGAAAAGGGTGCGGCTTCCTAGGCGCCCAGGCGCCTATATAGTGAGTTGTTGTTGCGGCTAAACCGAACAGCGCCACGCAGTCGATTTACCACTTCATGGGTTTACTGGGCTTCTTGGCTAAGTATCTGCGTAGCACTCAGCAGTGTAAGGAAGTCTTTTACTGGTAGGAAGCCCTGGTGCTGTTATTAGGGCTGGTGCAAAGAGAAGCATCCAATATAACATACAGGTACTTAGAACCGTTGAGGCCTGCGGATTGGGGTTGTAAAGGGCTTTTTTTTAGTGGGGTTTACGTGAGTTTAAAACCCTATAAACCCTCAACCCTAAACCCAAAGCCCTGAACCCTAAAACGGTTTATGTGCGACTTGAGAATTTTGGACAGTCGGGTCTCGGATTTGTGTGTGTGTTGGCTTTGACAAGAGTGTGTACTGGAGTTGGAGAACGGCCTTTCGGGCTTCATGCTAGGCGGTCTTGTTATCACGAACTAAAGTTTCAGAGTTTGAGGCTTTGGCGGTCGTAGGGTTGAGGGGATGCAGGGTTGGCTTAAGGCGTGGGTGTTGAAAGTTAGTTTGATGGTTTCAGGTTTGTGGGGGCTTGTAACCCCAGCTGAAGCTGCGCGCATTAAACTTCCTGCTCGACTGCCGAGCATCGTTTGTCTATCCAATCTAAGGGCCTGAGCCCTGAACGAAATCACCCGAAGCTCTAACATAGTCCGATTACGGTAAGAGAAGGTTCATACTAAAACGACTGACACATCCGTGCTGAACAGTACAAAGGGTAATCGCAGCAATGATGCTTTTCAGGAAATCATAAGCTGAGTGTTTTTGGATACTATTCGTTCAGAACCCTTGCTATCAATGTAGTGTCAAAACATGCCAAAGCTGTACTCTTCTGATCACAAAGGCCCAAACCCCAGAACCCAAATCCCGAAACCCCAAACCCTAGAACCCAAACCCCGAAACCCCAAACCCTAGAACCCAAACCCCGAAACCCCAAACCCTAGAAGCCAAACCCCGAAACCCCAAACCCTAGAACCCAAACCCCGACACCCTAAACCCTAGAACCCAAACCCCGAAACCCCAAACCCTAGAAGCCAATCCCCGAAACCCCAAACCCTAGAACCCAAACCCCGAAACCCTAAACCCTAGAACCCAAACCCCGAAAC